AAACAAGTGACAGTTCACACAGCTACAGCATGTAGGTGTGGCTCTGCAAAGCTCTGTTTAGACACTTGGGGACAGTTGGCGAACTCTAACCTTCACAGAAAAACTAAAGAAGCATTTTTAAAAAACACAACAAACATCCCTTCAGATAAAAAGATGCTGCATCTGAACAAAAGGCAACACAACTTTGACCTGGATTATGTGAAACTGTTTGAGAAGGGAATTTAAGTCTGATATGCGCCAGCAAAAACAACCGACTCAAACGGGCTAAGAGAAAAGCAATCAAAAGCAGAACTTTGTGTGACTATTTACTGCAGATATGAATACACTGTGACTACACATTTTGGTTTTTCCCTTTTAAACCTCTGCACACAAAATGTTTGAAAGTGACTGCACAGATTTACTTAAAAGGATGCATCTTTCCAATATGGCACACTTTTCTCACATAAGTCTTTCCAATTCACCATAAAGAAAAACGTCCAATTAAATTATCTGAAACTTTTTTTACTTGGAAAAACAAACTGCTTAGTTTCAAGTGACAAAAGCATAGCTAAGTATATCATATATCTGTGTATGCTGATTAGATGACTCACATGTCGGGGGGTTAGTAATTAGTAAAGTAAAGAAGGGCTCCTAACTTAACCAGCAGTATCATGTCTTTTAATTCCACAGTCTGATTTGTTCAATTATCACGTCACAGTTATTTGATTATCAGACTGATTTTCCTCTCTCTCTCTCTATCATCCACCCCCACTCCCCGCTCCCCTATGACTTGCAGTGACTCCTTAATTGGGGCTCAGCTGACAGTTTTTCCCCTCGGGGGAGCAGGCGCCATGTGGACCATCTGCTTCAAGTCGCAGGATGAACAGGTGTCCTGCTCCCGGCCGCCTGCCTGCACCTTACCAACCCTATCGAAGTGTAGCACGGCACAGTGTTGCGCGGTGTAGTAGCCGCCGCCGCCGCTGTGTACACAAGATAAATCCGAGTAGTTTTGTTTGACCTGAGCAGCATTTCTGCCTCAGACAAAGGAGGAAGCATATGGAAGCGCTACCTAATCTGACATAAAGATCACAGCCATGACAGTAAAGCCTGTTACTGCACGTCTGAGTCAGAGTTGTTTGGTTGATGCATCTGTTCTTAAAAGCATTTTGAAAATTGGGGTTTTGTGTTTTAATAAGCGATTTCTATATTGTGTCCATAATCCAGAAAATCCATATTCATGTTGTTCGTCTATATTCTACCCAGCTTTGGAACAGGATCTCACTCATGTGTGATAGTGGGTCACTCCAAAGTGGTTCCTCTACAAAGGATTTCTATGGTTAGTTTGCGCTGAGTCTTGTTGAGTTTAAAATTCAGATAAGGAAATACAGACAAGAAGAGAACATATCAACTCTACACTGAAAACCACCATGTAAAACAGCGCAACTGGATGATATAACTATGGGTTAATACATGTCCCAACCTATATCTGGATGAATAACAACAACCGGTGATTGAATCAATATCAAAAGTGGCCTGCATTTCACAGGTACACATTTCCGATCTAATTCACCTAATTCTGCACCATCATATCCCACACCTTTACTATTTAAAACTACTTTTTTGCAAGACTAGGACTGTATTAAAACACATTTTACTCCTTTTTTTTTTAAAGCATTCTGCAGTATCGAATGAGTTCCAACAGGAAAATTAAAACTTCAACCTGGGTAAATTTAAACTTGAAACTTTTAGAGATGTCTGTTATAATCTTTGATGCTGCACCAAACATGCTGGTCTGCGTCGTGTGCGTTTCACTTCAGAGTTCTGGAGCTCTGATTGCAGATTACTTTAAATAACCTTTAACCTGTCTACGCCACCCTGAGTACCTCCATTAAAAGATTATTTTAATGTCCTTGAACAGTGAATATCCAGTTGAGTCCTTTTTACTCTAAAATCAATGACAAATAAGGACAGAGCAAAAAGGATAGAAATAAGTGTGGGTGTAAAGGTAATCCACGCTGAGGGCTGAGTAAGTGCCAGGAGCAGGGTCTGCAGCAGATCTTCAAACAGTACACTGGATAAACACTGATCCAGGCTGCAAGGATTACTCCAGCCCTTTAACAAGGCCTGAGGGGTGGAAACAGGCAGGGGAAGAGGTAGTCCAGCTGGTATCAATGACACACACGCGCACACACACACAATACTATGCTAACAGGCTCTACACATGCTGCTACCTATGAAGAGGGAAGTCAAACAAACCAGTGTGTGTCGGGTGTGTGTGTGGGGTTTGTGTGTGTGTGTGTGTGTGTGTGTGGTGTGTGTGTGTGTGGTGGGGGGGGGAATGGGATGGGGTCACTCAGGACTTTGAAAGAACAATAGGTTGGCCTTCAGGCCAGTGCCCTCTGGGTCACTTAAGGAGGCAGCATGAAAACATGTTAGTGCGCACACACACCACCTGCTGTTTCCTGCAGGCTTGTATTTGGTGTAATGGAGATGGAGTGATTCTGCAGCCACACATTACTGAGATTTACCACATAGCTGAGGCCAATAAAACCTCCATGGCAACTTGGCTAGCATCTTTGGAATTGTAGTTTTAAAAAGCACATTAGGGCCGTAACTGAGGATAATTTTCACTGTTGGTTTGTCAGAAAGCGGTTAAAGACTGAAACATACACTGGCAATATATTACTGCATCAGATTGAACTGTTTGCTGGGAAATTACAAACCAAATTATAATGGCACACAACACACGACTTGGCTACCAGCAAAGCTCGCCAGGACTCGACAGAGAAATATCAGCAACTGACACTGATACAGGTCCTTTTTGCCTGCAGGCTAATATCAGTCAAACAGTCGACAGCGGTGACCTGTCAGTACACCCCTGTTTCTAAAGAACTGAAAAGCGATGCTACAACATCCATATTTCTGTATTGCCAATTACCTGTGGCAATTTTCAAGCTGCTACCTGCAGACCTACTTCAGTGTTCCAAGTCTTTTGATGTTTATGGTAATGCTAGCGGGATTTTGAGGAGTTCTTTTTCACTTTTTTCGAGCACTCTGTGAGAATTAGAAGAAAAAATATGGGAATGATCTGAAGCAAAACAAATTTCTTAATGCTACATAAAGTGAATCAGGCACATGTACACGGTGTTTCACACATAAATTCACAGCTCTGTGATTAAGTCATGATGGATCGTCCCCACAGGGCCTGGCCTATTGAGCACCGTTGTGTGTGTGTATGTGTCTACAGGGCGCTTTAGCAAATAATCAAATTTACATATATGCCTGCACATCCTTGCATGTGTGTGTGTGTGTATGCGGGGTCATGTGTCTGACTATGTGCAGGTGTGCGAAAGTGTGTGTGTGTGTTTGACATCAGGGCGAGTGCCGGGTCAGAAGGGTCACAGAGAAACAAAAGCATGGAGCAGCTCCAGCAGCTGCCGGGCCAAACGTCATCCACAGAGACCTCTGGCCTTACCATCACCCTTTCTTTTCAATGGGAGCGTGCCGTGGTCCTACTTCTGCTAACACATGCATATTTACACACACACAGACACACACATGCTCTGCCTGGCGGGCCACAGTCATGTCTGGAGCTCAGTGCAGCAGGCGAAGGAGGTAAAAGGTCATTTGGGGACATATGCAGAGGATGTATGGGTGCAAATCAAGTGTAAACCTCTGTGGCTGAAAAAGTGAAGACATCACTGAAGTGCAAAAAAAAAAGAAGTTTCTCTAAAAGTCACACGAGTCTGCCTCCAAAAATGAGCCAGTCTTCATAATTCAGCATCAGCTATGCTTAACAGTTTGATGTAAAACTCTCTATAGTCTATTCCCCCTTCATAAAATCATCTCATGCACAGTAATTATATTTTTTTAAAAACTACAACACAAGCAGCTTATTCAAATCACTGAGCTACATCTCTTTACTTGTGGTGTTGGTGCCTTCTGGAGCATTTTTAACTGCAATACTTGAAAAGGTTATGGTCTGCTGTGTGGTACATCCCACTCATGAAGTTTGTGCTTCAGTTGCTTTTTAAATTCTAATATTTTACACATATGTTGCACTCATGCAGTTTATGGCTGACATTATTAGCTGATAATGTCTAAAGATGGCCATTTGTCGCAAAACACAGCACTCACCAGAACCTAATAATTCAGGCTTCCTTCCTTCCTTCCTTCCTTCATTCGTTTATTAACGTTTGCTGTGCCCATCTGCAGTGTATGGTGCAAATGCCCAACATGATTATACCTCAAATCAACAACTACAAGACTCTTAAAATTATCAATCAATCAATCAATCAATCAATCATGTCACAAATTGTGTAGAAAATCCATGACCTCTTCACAACCATTTGCCTTTGTGCCACTGTGTCACAGATCAGTTTTTCCTGTTCCTGCTCAATTCATCAAGCTCCCAGCTTAGATGACATGTTTGAGCACAAAGGGCTTAGTGAGAAAGTGAGTGGCAGTGTGTTTGTATGTGTTCACGAACAAGGAAACTGAATATACTTAATGAGGAATTATTTTAGTAAGTAAATTTTATCCCAACATTAGCTAATTATATTGTATACTGCACTTATGTCTGCAGACTATAAGCTGCACTGACCATGAGTTCATTCAGCACTATCACTTTACAGAAATATTTGTTTTTTAAAAAACCAACATAGAATAACTATACACCTGTCCCATATCTATTAACGATCTTTGGACATGTCTGTGATGCTACACCGACTTCATATTGATTTTACTAAAGTTAAAATATTTCCTGTGCATACTGTATTCTTGGTTCCAGTTTTTATAATGTTTTACTTTACTGATATCTTCTCTTTTCCCTAAATGTAAACTGCCAAGAATCAGTAAGGAATCTTTTGGTGCATTTTTGTTCAGGCAGTGTGAAAAGATTCATATATGATCCCTATTATATGTAGTATTTCATGATATAGTATTTCATTTCTTATGCATGTCGTTAATGATGACTATTCATTACTGTATATCTTGTTGAAAACAAAATAATGTCCACTTACTTTATCGTAGCATCCTCCCGTGTTGAATTCATTCTCCATCACATGTTACGACAAGTGTCCTTGTAAAAACTCTCATGGTAGTGCAAAGTTTGCATGCTGACGCTGCTGCTCTCGGGATCTCGTGGTTGTCAGAGAGGAAATCTACAGAACAGCCGAGCAGTGAGCGTTTCCTTGTGACTGCCTGAGAGTCTCCACCTAGCGGCCATGATCTGCATCTGCATGAAATCTGTTTCTTGCACTTTGCTCCAGAGACGATATTGCTATCAAATTATTTTTACATGGCGCCATTAACCTCCTCTCTCTGGCTCAGAGACAAAAGGAAGTGGAAACGTATTCCTTTGAACAGATTCTGTGATGTTTAAATGCTCAAAGCAAAATACAGGAACAATAAGATGAAGAATTCCACAACAGTCACTGGTACTAAGTAAGGAGATGCGTCCTAATGCAGAGTATCTGTGTTTAGAAGAATAAAACACAAGGTATCTAAAGTTTGAGGTTAGTTTAATTTAATTTCTTCATTTAAAACAGAAGACTTCATTATTGAATCCACCATTTAGACAATCAAGTCCATATAACTGAAGTGAATACAATGTTTATTTTGAACAAGTTAAAAAAGTATAACAACAAAAACTGAGAAAAAGAGACAAACAAAAAAGGAAAACAAAAGGAAAACAAATCAATAATAATTAATTATAAATGTCTTACATGTTCAAAAAGGAGTAGGAAGAAGCATAAGGTTATTTAATCCCACCCTCTTTCCACTACTTAGCAACTATCAGCCTACACTTTTTCTTCCTGTTTATGTGCTGTTTATCATAAATTGTTCATTGCAATTTGTTACATGTATTATTTATTTAATAACCTCAGTAACACATCAAAAGATATACAAAACTTGAAACTTTGTTATGTGTATGACTTATATGAGACTTCTAGCTTATTTTATCATCTATTATCACACTAAGAAACTCTTTCAATTTCCACACCATTGCTACAAATCTGCACTTGTGAGTTCCCTTGGGAATTTGTAAATAAGACGATCTCTCTCTCTCTCTCATATATATATATATATATATATATATATATATATATATATATATATAAAATGCTAATAACTTAAAACAAGTAATCGGATGTTTTCAGTCTCCCCTTTCCTTTTAAGGAACCTTACTTTGTGACAAATATTCTGTCAAGAGGGCAGATGAACACACAGTAACAGTAATATTTGTCTCCCTCTACAGGACAAAAACATGTATAATTTTCTACATGTTAATAACATGGACAAGGACAAAGCAGAAGAAATCATTTACAATCTTTGTAATATTTGTATTATATTAGCATTTGCATTAAATAAGAAAATACAAAACAGAATTAAAGCTGCAAGCAGCGTTATGAGGGCCCTCGCACCCCGGCATGTCGAGCCACGCCCAACACCTACAACCAGCACGTCCGATCTGATTGATGGAATTCATGCATTTAACCACCAGCTAACAATTCATCTCATTCAATCATGATTATAGTCGTCCCACTAGGTGGCGCTCTAAACATTACTGACAAATGGCATAACAAACATTTCCAAGCTCGAGTCTCATCATGCCTGCGACCAGAGAGATTGGACATTGTGTTTTTGAGTGACAGCAGATTACTGCTTTTTGGCGAGTGATTGAAACTCCACGTGCCGCCATGACCACCCCGTTTCCCTGAACGTAAAAAGCTTCGCAATTTAACATCACAAAGGTCTTTAGATTCCACACAGACGATATCGCATTAATCTGATGAAATCCCTTGGAGGAGTTCGTCAAAGAACGGTGCCTGAAAAGAGGGGAAAATGTCGCTAAAATTACACATTAATTTTAAAATGGCTGACTTCCTGTTGGATTTGGGATATTGCTCCAAGAGACTTTTTTCTACATCTTGATATCTTACATTAAGCTTGCCAGGTTTCAGACTCATAGATAAAACACAGAGCAGGGGCTGATGTTTTGAAATATTGTAGGGGGCGCTGTGGAGCCATTTTGCGCTATAGGGCTTTGGAGTTGACGTCACGCCGCAATGCATTGTGGGAGCGCAGCTCCATTTTCGGGGTCTACGAATCAAAACAAACACACTGTGTTGGAACAACGACGACAAGAAACATACTTAAAAGCAGCTCAAAAGAAAACGGACGGTATAGAGACCGATTGCGTCCAGAGGCGAAGCAGCGGTACTTGGAAAAAAAAATAGAGTGCATCGCAAATCTGGACCCATATGAAATACGGCAGTGGAGTAAAGACCCAGACGACTTACCGCCACTGTCCTACCCCGATATCATCACGTATCTTGTTTGTGGAGTAAGCGCTTACACAGCGAACCAGTTTCGTAATTACAAGTCACTGGAGGCGCACATCCAATTTACAAATGGCTGGGTGCAAGATTTGGCTATTTTCAAGCCGCCAAACTCTGAGTACGTCGTCAAAGTAAGTCAGCTGGAGTGCATCGAGTGAAATAGCCATTTTCCACCCCCCACCGTAATTAATGTTACACATTTATCATTGAACTGCTAAAATATCGTTATCATATTATATGCCCATAATTGTAAAGTACATGCAAATTAACACATTGATAATCGGGTAAATTATTAACGCCAATTTGTGTCCTTCCTGTCTCATTTCATTTATTGTCTTTACATCAACCAATCAAGTCACTCCATTCTATGTTTGATCGCAATTTCTATAACTTCCGAGACCACCAACGATGATATTATTCAGCTATAAAGTGTGATGTGAACATATTTAGAACTTACCGGAATGAAAATGTCTTGAGCACACCAGCTGATATATCTGGAGACGTAACAGAACTGGATATCAGCTCGTCTCACGGCTTCTATCCAGGCTAGACGCCTTCGTTTGGTAATATCCGATACATGAGCTCCTTCATGTTGCTTCCAGGTTGGGAAAGCATAAAAAGACAATCGAAACTTATTCCCGTGCCGGTCGTAAGATCGAACATTGCAGCTGACCACACAGCAAGTACGAACCATGGCTATGCTTTCGCTCCTTACTTAGACCCCCAAAATGGCGGATCGGGCCAAAATCCTTTCCACGCCCACCCCCGTGACATCACGCTCCAAAGCCCTATTCAAGGAAAGTGATCACATAACAACAAAGCCTTCATCACAGTGAATCTGTGGGCCAAATTTCAAGACTTTTTAAACTTTCCAAGCCCCTCAAAAGCCACTTCATTTTTCATGGTGGTCTGTATCCCTGAAGACGTCTGTGTCTGTCATGCTTAATAAAATTAGATTTATTCATTATATTAAACCAAACAACAGAAAGTTTAATGCTCCTAAAAGTTTGGAACTGAAACTGATATGTAAAACCAACTAGTGTCTCCACCTAACAGCCACAGAATTAAAAAGGATTGTAGATTACTGGTAAATTATTTTTGACAGAATGAATTAAGGCTATAGTGGGAATATCAAACACTAGGTTTAAAAAAAAAACAACCTCCTATTTGGCATAACTTGTTCTGGCTTATCTCACATGGTGATGAAATCCTTTAAAAGTTGGACTCAAAAGTTGTTTTTTTTCCACAGAATAATCAGAGAACAGATCAAACTAACGGTTGTTTCTATTCCTCTCCATCAGAAACATTAAACTGGTGCAGTTGGTTGCTTTTCATATGGAATGACCCATCTATTGCCTGGATATTCTACTGTAAAATGTGACAGATTTGAACTTTGATGAACCCAACTGCTATCTGTCATTCAGTTTATTAATAAAACCCACATAGCCGGTTTTTGGACTGAAAGTTTATTGAACACAAAAATTACCATGCTTTACAATGCAGGAAGAGAAATATCAACGTAAAATATGCTGTACAGATTTTTACAGTCATTCACCAAGAGAAATTGAATGGCCTCACCGCTTAGAGCCTCACTCCTTTAAGGTATTATGTGTGTTCTGTCTTAAATCTTATATCACTGAGTAATATTATACTGTACGTCTCTGACTAAAGTTAAATGCCATTAAAAACCATCTCTCAAGATTTTCAGTACAAGAATAAAAAGAAAAAGGTCTATTTGTTCCAGGTGTTATCCAAGTATTTAAACCCACCAATTCATTCTCTAAATAAATAATTCTGTTAGCTCAGGTTGGAATTAAGAGATACAGATTAGAGCCGCTAGATGAATGCTTACTGGCTAGTGGGTAGTTTGCTTGGTACATTGGATCCACAACTGTCCAAATGTACGTGTTTGGTTAAAAACGGTATCAGTCCAGTATTTCTATGCCGTTTCCAACAACATAGAAATAATTCCCTGCAAATTAGATTGGGGGAAAAAAATATCTTATGAGTTATAAAACATGTTTGTTCAACTGAGAAATCCCTGAAAGTTAGCAAAATTTAAAATAATAAAATAGTAATAATTTAGCCTAGAGAAATTTTAATTTGTGTCTGCACCTACAGACTTAAGACAGGAAGGTTCATACTCGTGTTTTATCATCTGGTTTACTTCATTAAAGAAGCAAAAATGCGAGGGAAGGCGATAACTGGATAAGATGTCATCCTCTTTCTCCTCAGCTAAATCTACTGAACTGAAGTCAGAGCTCTAACACATGAAATGTGTAAAACATGTTCATTTTTTCCTGATTTCATCACAATTACTTATTGTTAGTAGATTAAACATGCGACCCTACTACCTACAGACAGCTGACACTGAGCTGGCTAAAACACAGCAGCAATAAGCTAATGCTATATTACCTAATGTTAGACTCAAGTGTCCTAAAAATCACATTTTCCCTCCAATAAACAATTTGATTACACTCTCACATTGTATGAGAGTTTATTCGCTAAGAGTCTGAATTTAACAAAGTTAGCTCCACTTCAAAGTGTCACTAACAAGGGCAGCACTTATTGACAGAGAAGTTCAGGATATCTTGAACAACACTGCAGTATCATTTTCAGACAGAAATGAGCTTCAGTGACTCATCGACTCATATTGGACTCAACCACAAAGTTTTGCGTTTTCCTCCATAGATGTCGA